ACACAGAGGGGACACTGCGCCCCCTCAAGCCCCCCGGCCAGGTCTAGGGGCAGAGGACGGCCCAGTCCTGACCGGAGGGCCTGCGGCCCTAAAGAAGCTGCAAACTTCCCCCAAACTTTCTCTCTTTCACTGAATCTCATCGGGGACTCACTCTGCTGCTCATTTTCGGGTTTGAGAGGAAGGTGTTGCTGTGATCACACCAGACGCTGCCGGGAGGAATCTGAGATCTAAGCGGGTATTAAACGCATCCGCATGACACTGACCTTTCAACATTAGTCACTTAATCAAATCAGCTCTTTTTGACACTGTGCCAGATTTTAACAAAATATCACCCAGGATAAAGCAATATCACATGCATACATAAAATAACGTTCTATCACTAACTCATTTTCTTCATGATACACATTATCCGAGGGACATAGTTAGGAACGTTTAAAAATCCTTTCTTTCTAAGTAATCACTAGTCGCTTAGTAGGGAGAGAAAGTCAGTGATCCCAAAATAAATAACCTCTTTAAAATGGGGACGTGAACCCGCAATCAGTAAAACGATTCACGATCAGGATTCATGTTAAAAATAACCCTCGAAGCACCACTTCCGAGCAGAGGTGGGCAATGAACCGGAGGCCTCACTGTAGCTCGCATCTCATTTAAGTACGAGGCCAAGAGACACACAGGACGTAAGGGACACGCTGGCCTCCACGTGTCCCCTCAGGCCCCCACACGCCCACTCAGGCTTCCTTGGTGACACTGACACGGGCAGGGGACTCCGTGAATCACCCCTCGTTTTACTCTATTACAGGAGTTAGATGTGGGCTGGCTCTGAAATGACAGCGCTGGCGCGGAGCCTTTAATCCTCGGAGATGCCTCTTCAGTCCTAGCTGAAGCCCCTCTTTGGGGCCCTTGCCCGGTGAGAGGCCTGTGGGGTCACACTACGCACCCCTCCCCGCCTGGGTGCTGCCCGCAGTGTGTGCGGGAGGGTCAGCCTGCACCGTGACCGTGGGGATGGTCAGCGGTCGCCCGGCAGACAGCACTGCACCGAGCGTTCCTCGTGGAAATGCAACCAAGAACGACCTGTCTGCCTGCTACCCTTAAGCCCAGTTACCCCACGTGAAGGGAAAATAACGGCGATAAAGATCTTTCCTGCTGCTTTCCCATGTTAAATCCATCCCATTAGCCCTCTGCTGCAACGCCTGGATAGGCCAGTTTTGTCACGGCTGTTCAAATGTATTTTTATAAATAAGATGCTGAAAACATGTCAACATAAAAAAAAAAAAGTAAAATTCTCATCAAAAGGAAAGTAATCTAAAAATATATTAAAGAAAGTGAATGTGCAGGAATGTGTAGTCACTAAGTCCCATTATAAAAGCAGTTACCACGCCCATGGACTCATAATTCAACATTCATTCTTACTCATCACCCAGGACATCAGTGCCTCCTGTCAGGACGGGGAAACGCATGGCAGCGAGGAAGTCGGAGGACACACGAGTTCACAGGCAGGACCTACCTCGTACAGCAGGCAGCCCAGGGACCAGATGTCCGACTTGAAGTTGTAGCCGTTTTCGTGTATCCTCTCGGGAGACATGTAGTACGGGGTGCCCACTGCAAAACACAGCCAGTGAGAAGGAGGGAAGGCAGATGAGGTGCAGCCGGGTGAGAGATATCCCCCAAATTCTGGGTTAAAGTGTCACCGAGGCCACTCACTACCGTCACAGAACGGCTTCTGAGAAAACGCAAAGCTTTCCAACTCCTCTCTCCTCGCAGACCCGCGAACGGCCGTCAGTCAGACTCGTCAGCTCTCACAGAAACACCCCGAGAACACGATGCGGGCTGCGCCCCCCACTCCGCCCCGTGGGAGCCCTCGCCGCCGCCTCACGCCCGCTCTGAACGACGGTGAGGGCGCTGGGACGTCGAGGGGCTGGGCCACGCCTGTGAGAGGCCCGGGCCCTGAGAACTGCTGGTGGCACCACGGAGACTTGTGGACACTGGGGGCTCCCGGTGACTTTGGTTTTGTTTGTTGACGTGCTAACGCCTTTTTCTCTTCCTATGGCCGTTTCAGATCATGCTACCACAACAACCGTCAACATGAGAGGTAAGCATGTATTAAACGTATTTTTTACATAATATGCATGCTTTATCTTAACAGTTAAGCGGCACACATCTCAGATATGTGTTCACGTGTAAATCTACGTGGGCTACTCACCTCCTGATGGACACATGTCCAGTCCCCTCTGAGAAGTGGGAGGAGGGGGTCACAGTCACTGACCGGCTGAATTCAAAGTGGACTGCCGGACACAGGCCTGGGGGTCCCATGCGCCCTCTCACTGCTCCCGAGTGCGCCTGCGTGCGGCCGGGGCTCTCGTGGGGGCGGGGAGCTGGGCCTCCTCTCCGACACGGGCCCGTCCTTCCCTCTCGCCGCCGGGCAGAGGCCGAGAAGCCTCAATGCTCAGGAAATCGAAATGCATTCCCACACGTCAAACTGAATGGACACACAGTCCTTCCCTAGACCCTTTCCGAAACGCATGGCAGCTGTGCCTGTCACTGCCACGGCCCCGAGCACGCTGGGACCTCTTGGGGCAGCTGGGCCAGAACAGGGCAGGCGGGCTGGGCCGTCTGTCTCCAGTGACTCACGCGCCCCTTCGGCGGACGCACGCGGAGGTTTACAGCAGGTTAGTTATCTAAGTAAGTTTCCTTAGAATCACCTCTCGTCTCTTTCCGTATCCCAGTCCACTGAGGGGAGGGGGCCACTGGTACTCAGGAGGAAGCCCAGAGAATGAAATACAAGTTTTCACTTAATACATGAGAACTCATAACAAACTAACAGTGACGACAGAAAAGGACTTGTTTACAGAATTTGTATTATTTTCTCCCTTAAAAAATAACAGTACAGCACGGGCAATAAAGGGGCTACTGCCACAGGGGGCGGTGACATCTGTAAGTATCTGTGCGCCCCACATGGAAGGCCCCAACGTCTACAAAGCAAACACTAACGAAAAGGGGAAGGGACAGAGGACTTTCAGACCCGCTTCCCAGTGGACAGACGTCCGGACAGAAGATCCATGGGAGACAATAGCCCAACAACACAACAGGTCGCTGGACAGAACCGACGTGCGACACACCCTCCGCAGCATCGAACACACGTGCCTCCCAAGTGCACACGGGACAGCCCAGGACACCTCCTGGGGGGCAGAGCCACTCGCGGTGAATCTAAAGGCAGGCGTCAGAGGCAGCATCTGTACCGACCACCATGGCATACAACGAGATCAACGACAAGAAAACGGGAGACACGCAAACACGGGGAGACTGAGCAGAGAATGAAGAGGAAATCAAAATATGCCTGAGACCAATGAGAGCGCAGCATTAAACCTTCGGTCCAAAGCAGAGCAGTTCTAAGAGGAAGCACATCGCGATGCAGGCCTTACCTCAGGAAACAGAAAACTCTCCAACGAGCACCCAAGCTACATCCAGGGGAGCCAGGAAAGGCCCAAAGTTAGTAGAAGAAAGAAAAGTGTGAAGATCATAGAGGAAACAGATTAGAGACCAAAACACAGGAAAACGTCAATGGAATTAAGAGCTGGTTCTTTGAAAAGAAAAGCAAGACTGATAAACCTTTAGCCAGACTTACAGAGAGGGAGGGAGGGAGGGAGGGAGGGAGAGAGAGAGAGAGAGAGAGAGAGAGAGAGAGAGGCCAAAATAAAGAAAGTCAGAAATGAAACAGGAGAAATTATGACTGATACCACAGAAGCACAAAGGGTCATAAGAGGTTACCATGAACGATTACACGCCAACATAAGGACAATCTAAAAGAAATGGACAGACTCCTCGATACGTACAATCTTCCAAGATGAACTCAGGAAGAAATTCTGAGGAGACTCATTAATAATGAAATTAAATCAATAATAAAATTTTTAAAAACTCCCAACGAACAAGACATCAAGTCCAGATCGCTTCACACATGAATTCTACCAAACATTTAAAGAAGAATTAAGTGTCCTTCAAATTATTCCCAAAAATTACAGATAAATGAATGCTTCCAAACTCGTTCTATGAGGCCAGCATTACCCTGACACCAAAACCAGAGAAAGACAGGAAAATACAGACATACATATAGGCCCCGATTCCTGAAAAACAGATGCAAAAATCTTCAACAAAGTACCAGCTAATAAACTCGGAAATACCCCTAAAAATCATAATCATGACCAAGTGGGATTTTTTTCAGGGCTGTAAGGATGTTTTAATATCCACAACTTGGCACACCACATCAACAAAACACGAGATTAAAATCCATAGAAGCACTTTAATAGATGCCAAAAAACCCCAAACATTTGACAAAACTCAACACCAAATTTCTGGCAAAAACTCTCAACAAAGTGGGTATAAAGGAAATGCGCCTCAACATCACAGAGGCCAGCACACCCGCCAGGCCCGCAGCTCCTAGCAGCCTCTGCAGTGAGAAGCTGACAGCTCTTCCTCTAAGATCAGAGCGGAGACAAGGGTGCCCCTTCGCCTCCTTTCCTCAGAGCATAGAAGTCCCAGCCACAGCGATCAGACAAGAAAAATAAACGTGAAACGTCCCGGCGAGGCCCAGGAAGACAAGGGCGGTCCTGTCAGGCCGCATGCCTGGTACCACCACGACCGTCACGCTACACAGCGGCCACACATCGGCACGCACACGCTGGTGTTCGGACAACAGGTCACTCACAGGTCATCACACTCTTCATTCGTGAAGGTTGAGGAACAACACTATTCTCTGTCAGGGAGGATAATGTAAATAAAAGGGGGGTTCCATGGCGACAGCTAAACCGAGTCTGCTCACTGACTCCTTCACCAAGAGCTGCAAGACTGCAGGGCGTGGGGGTCCACCCAGGACCCGTGGAGCCGTCACCAGTCTGCTTAGAAGGAGGGGCTGTGTGTGGGCGGCCACCTGGCGAGTCCCCCCCCCCCCCGACCCTCTGCCCCCGCCGCGAGAGGCTGCCCCTGGACGGACCTCCCTGACCGCTCACCTAAGGAGTGCGCCGCCGTGGTCTTGGAGCTGAAGAAGCGGCCGAGGCCCAGGTCCCCGAGCTTGACCACGCCCGTGGCCGTGATGAACACGTTGGCCGGTTTGATATCTGTGGACAAATGTAGGCATCAGGAGAGGTGAGGCCAGCGTAGCTGCTTTCAAGGATCAAAAGTCACATTTCCTGGTAAAGTGCATCCTAAAAAGTCAGTCTGCTTGAATTGTGAACCGACTGCTTTATTTTGAGTAGCTTTTATATATCCTTCTATTTCTGTGTCCTCAGTCCTGAGACAAATAATATTGGAGGCAGCATGATTCAGGTCACGAATAATTTTCATTTCAAACACATTTTCCCCCTTTTCAAATAAACTCTTGTGAAATACAAAGCATAAATAAATGTGTCCCTTTCACGTCAATTTTAAATAAAATCTCTCTTTATTGACATATTTAGGTAAAATATAAAATCACAACGTCATGGATGGAACTGGAGAGCATTATGCTAAGTGAAATAAGCCAGTCAATGAAGGAAAAATACCACATGATCTCACTCATTCATGGATAATAGAGACCATTATAAACTTTTGAACAATAATAGATACAGAGGCAGAACTGCCTCAAACAGATTGTCAAACTGCAGCGGGAAGGCCGGGGAGGGTTGGGGGGCAGGAGGTAGGGGGGTAAGAGATCAACTAAAGGACTTGTATGCATGCATATAAGCATAACCAACGGACATAAGACACTGGGGGATAGGGGAGGTTAGGGGACTGTCTAGGGCGGGGGGATAAAATGGACACATATGTAATACCCTTTGTAATACTTTAAGCAATAAAAAAAAATATATAAAAAATAAAAAAATAAAATCACAACGCTCTATGCACATAACTGACGTAGAGGTCCTAGAAACCTTAGCTCAGATGCGTATCACTGACATTTCTCACGCCCCCAAACCAAGGGGCCGATTCTTTAGTGATGGAACCTTTCCGTTCCGCCCACCCATCGGACTCCCAGCCAAGACGCTGAGAGCTAGCGCTGCACCTGTGAACCCTAAGCAGCCTCACAGACTTGGTGCATCGGGGGGAGGCCCCCCTTTATGCGCTCCCCTGCACCCGCCTTGCTTCCTTCACCCCCCAAATCCACACGATGCTCAGAAGAGCCGCAGAGAAGAACTATCCCCAGCCGGGCCTCCCTTAAGGGCGCCTGGTCCAGGGAACTGCGACTGGCAGGCAGGCTCCTGTGGGAGCAGCCCCTGTGCCGGGCTGGACGCACTGGCTCCTGAATGGACAGGGCGTTCGGGGCCCGGGGCGCCTACCTCGGTGCATGACGCGACGGGAATGCATGTGCTCCAGGGCGCTGCACAGCTGCACAAAGTACTTCCACACAGTCCTCTCCGGGATCAGCCTCTTCTGCTTCTTAAAGTGCTGAGGGAGGAGGGGAGAAGGATGAGCTGAAGTCCTCCGGCCGGATTCTGCCTGTTCACCTCCCTCAGGCCCACGCAAGGCCGGGGGCCGCCCGAGGGGGTGGGTGGGTCCCAGGGTTTTACCCGACATCACGGCTCAGCCCCCACCCCCCCACCTTCCCCACCGCAGCTACACCAGCACAGCCAGCCCCTGCCCTGGCGCTGTCCACCTATTCAAATAGCTTCTGCACAAACTGATTCTCCTCCTGAAAGGAAGACGTCAGGTTCCACTTGAGGAAAAGCCAGAATAAAAGAGTCGAGAAACCGAAGGTGAGGCTGTTTCATTAAGAGAAATTCTCGTGTGACAGAGGTCTCACTGCAGAGCCTTTTAAATAAATATTGAAGCACCTTGTGACTGAAATCCGACTTCAACTATTAAACATGAAAGGGGTTGGGTTGAAAGTTTTCATAAATATTTCTATTGCACATTACACGTCAGACTTGCAGTTCCCTTTGAATGAATGAAACTAAACTCAGTGAAAAAAGGATGGAAGGCGGGGCCAACGCTGAGCACCAATCAGGATGGGGGAGGGGAGCACCCATGAAATGAACTGCAAACCACAGGTCCAGGTGCCTGTCCGTTCTCCCACGTGACCCTTGCTGGAGGAACACACGAGAAATACACCCATTCACAAACAAACCTGCACTTGGCTTGCTGTGTAACAGTATCTGTAGCTCGTAACGTAGGTTAATCGTCACTGTAACACACACTGCGGCAATGAACTTACCAGCCATTTCAATGGCTATTATATCAGCAGCTAAAACCGCAGAACAATTAGATGACCAGGCGATTACAAAGCTAACCCGGGCATTACTAAGAAGTTCAAAACATCCGTATCATGTTTTCAGTCGGGGACTGTCGTCACCATCAGTTTTCACTGAGGGGCCAGGCTGCAACGCCTCTTCCACACACGAATTCCTTCCGGACCAGGAGGGAGAGCCCGCCGCGGAGAAGGCGAGCAGGAGTCGTAAGTTAGGATATTTGCAGGCCATCATTCTCTCCAAACGCTGTTGGCACTTTAGCTAATTTTTCAGAGTCTGTGGTAACAGAAGTCTCCGCCCGCACCCCCAATCCCCACGCCCGGGGTAAAGCCCCCCCCCACTCCCGGCTGAGCCGCTGCGGCCAGGAGAGCAGTGGCCTCAGGCCATGGCATCTCACACAGCACAGAGGGCGACTTAGGGGGCGCTACTCTCCCAGCAGCTGCCCTGGCTGGGCCCACACGAGCTCCGGCTGGTCCAGCTCTGAGCTGGGCCCATCGCCTCTGTGTGAGGCCCTCCACCGAGAGCGGGTGCCGACACTGGGGAGTGGGATGACGGGCACGTGGGCCCTGGAACACGAGTTGGTCCAGCCCAGCGCACACCACAGAGGGTTCCCGGCACACACCACTGGGTGAGCTGGAATCCGCCCGAGTCCACCTGCCTTTAAAGCTGTGATCGCCGGTGACAGAGAAACGGGTGATGAGAAAGCCGGGCTTCCTTTCATCCTGAACCTCATCCTGCAGCTGCATCTGACCACAGCCTCGGGCGTCCGCGGCCTAATTAGAGGAACACGGAGCATCTCCGCTACACGCTAATGCCACTGTCGGCCGCTCCGCCGTTAATTATTCATCGCCGGGTCTTTGATGCGAGGCCGCCCGGGTTCGCTCCGGAATCAGACCGGGAGCGATATTTCCTCTTCCCCCCAATTAGGCTGAGCCTGAGACACGGCCATTCCACGATGCCCATGATTTACAACTCTCCCCGCTGCGGCCTGACCGCGTCCCTCACGCTCCAGCAACCGCGCGGCCCCATAAAACACTGTCACCATCACCCTCGCCTCTTCCATGGAGACCAGCTCACGGCCCAGACGAGGGTCAGAAACACTCGGGGAAGCTCTCGGGGCGAGAAGCCGCCTCCTCCTCTCGGAGCCCATCCTCTCCCGCCAGCGCCCGTGGGGGCAGAGCGTGAGTCAGCAGGAACCTGCCATGTCCCACGGCCACGTGCCCAGCCCAGGCCCCTGGAGAAGCGCTGACAGGCGTGAAACAGGCGGCCTGCACACACACCCCCACGGCCCACATGGGCCTGGTGAGCAAGCGACCTGGCCCTGCACTAGGTGAGCCCCACGCCCTGCGGGAAACTGGGCCTCAATGGAACAGTCTCCACGGAAAGGCGACCAATGCACTAGCGGCTGCGATGCTAAGGCCGCGTCACTGAGGCCGCGTTGCTGAGTGCCGTGAAAGGAGCCGGTTCCAAGCGCAGTAGGAGCAGAAGCCAGTGTCTGGGTGGAAAGGTCTCCCTGGGAAAGGACGTGAGTGGGAACGGAACCAAACAGACCAACACTCCAGCGCGTGTGGCCGAGACAGCACGGACGCCGGAGCAGGACGAGCAGGCCCGTCCAGGGCCCGTCCAGGGCCGGGTCCACGCGCCGGAGCCCGAAGAAACTGAGCAAAGAAACTCAGCGACGGCCAAACCCCCCTCGCCCGCCGGGCAGGTCCCCCGTGGGACGGTCTGTCCTTCCGGGCCGTCAGCAGGTGTTTGCCCATCAAGGATCCCCTGGCGCCTCCCCCGGGATCGGCCCTGTGCCAAGGCTGGCGCACAGATGGCACATCAGTCCTGTCTCCCTGCGCGTCTCACACGGACGGCTGCTTGTGCTGGGGCGGGAAGTCCCTGAAACCGAAAATCTGATAAGCGCCGGGTGAGTCACTCCCCACGAGCCTCGGGCCGAGTCAGAGCGATGGCATCCTGACAGCGGGGGCATCGCCTTCCTTCCTGCAGGCCATCAGGGTTCGAGAGCAGCTCAGACCACCTGCCCCTCGCAGACAGGGCACTGACCCCCAAGAGGGTGCCGAGCCGGGAGGGCCGCAGCTACGCCAGGTCTGCCCATGCCTCGCCCGGGGCCCTGGGCGGCTCTGGCATGGAATGCAAACCACGGGCTGTCCCCCGACTTCCAGGGGGTCCTGGGACACGGCCTCCGAGGGCCAGTCAAGGGAACACGAGGCTGTGCACCCACCAGACCCGTCAGAGGCAGAGCTGAGACTCCTCTTCGCGAAGGGCCACCCCCGTTAGTCCAGGGCGCGCTGACGTCCGCATGCGCTGCCTTTGACCCTCCTACCCGGAGCCCCTGGGTGGATCCCTGCCGGCCCCCGGATCCGCCGACACGGACATTCACCCAGATCACGGCCAGACCACAGGGAACAACAGGCTGAGCCTTCCGCAGCCCGACCAGGAACCCACCTCTCTCTCCAGCAAACACCCAGGGAGCAGCCGCCGGGGCAGACCTGCAGGGACCAGGGCCTCCTCCCGGGCCATCCAGGCGGCTGCACAGCCTCGGCCACAGTCGGCGCCTCATTAGCAACCGGCAGCATTTCCAGCGTCCGTCCCTGCTCCCACCTCAGGGCCAACCAGGAAAAGGCCCGTCACATGAGCCGCCGGCTTCCATCAGCTCCTCCGACGGCCTGGACCCAGGCCGCCCGCCACCCTCTGGAAAGGCTCCCACTCCCACCCATGACCTCCGCCGCGCCCTCCGTGGCACTGACTCCTGCTGTCAGCTCAGAATAAATAGCCTCCTTTTCTCATCTGGTTGGTTCTCATTGATTTTCCACCAAGCACGCAGCCAGCCACACGCAGACGGACATCCCAGCCTCCCTTGCAGCTAGAGCGTTCGTTCACGCCTGGACTCGGGCAGCGGGACGGAGCTGAAAGGAGCAGCAGCAAGCGCCCTGTCCCTTAGGCAGGGAGGGTGAGGTCAGCTGGAGACAGGCCTGGGCTCTGGGAATCGCAGAGCTCAGAGCTGCCACACCAGCCCCAGAGTTTTATGGAACAAAGAATCACACGTAACAGTGATCCCATAGCAGTGGCCACACTTACACAACACGTGCTTTGTGTGTGTGAGGCCCTGTGCTAAGCTCTTGACAAACACCAATGTACTGTGATCTGGGGGTCTCTATGGCTTGTAGCTGAACTTTGACGCTAGTAACACGCCCGTTTAAAAGAAAGTGAAGTCACTGCTAAGCGGCCAAGTCGGGTTTGATGTGCAGGGTCTGAACGCAGAGTCCACACTCCTCTCCAATGAGTCGCCCGGAAAGGTCGGGCTGCCTGACAGCCTCTCTCTGCCCCTGCGGCTGAGGGCAGGGACCAGCTCCAACCACAGCCGTGACCGCGGGGCATGCCATGCATTCCACAGGTGCCCAAGTCAGTGTAAAGCACCTGACATACCTGTGCGTCCAATGGACAACCGAGCAGTAAGAACAAACCTTACCTTTATCATCCTGGATAGGTCACCAGCATCGGCTAATTCCAAAACTATGTTGAGTTCGTTATCTTCAATGAATGACGCATAATATTTAATCACGTTCGGATGGTTGAGTTGCTGTGGGAAAAAAACAGGCAAGAAAAAGGTTTCTTCTGGAAAATTCCCAATAGTTTCATAACTTAAGAATGCACTTAGCTACTGCGTCTCATCTTTAAGTTACGGAAACTTCACATGACAGTGTATTTTTTCTTAATCTTGTGAATTTTAAAGGAAGTGTAATAATTGAAAGTAAAACTGGGTATAAATTAATTTTATTTTAATATTCTTTATTAGAAATAATAGAGACTACCAGGCACTTAAAGGTTTAAAAAGTATATTCTGTCCAACGATCTATCCACGCCTACAAGTGAATGACACGATGGAGCCACCAGCTGCTAACAATGATTCCCTTCAGACTGAGCTCTGCCATTGCAGGGCACTCAGCGGTAATCACCTTCTCCTTTTTGCTCCTGTTTTGAAGTTCGGGCTGACCCTAGCATAGCTACTTCCAGTGGTTAAAAGACAAAACAAACAAAAAAATTAAAGAATTTCAACAACTGTCATCTGTTATATTGCATTTAAATACTGCCTTTATCTACTTCCTAGTTTGAAATGAGGGGGGAAAGCGAATCCTACCCAATGTTCCAGTTACATTATTTCACAACGATTCCCAAAGGTAACTAGACTCTTCAGTACACTGAGATTCAAACGTATATATTCTTTGAAATGAGAGTGGCCTCGGTTGCCCTGACGATCCTTCTGCTTGTGAGTGGAACATTTAGTAAGTTACTTATCAGCATGGGCAGCTGTGCTCCCCACAGGCGGCTGAGTCGGCCCCACTGGGTGCCTCTAAGAGCTCTGAGGCGGATGGAGAAAGCGGGGGCTGCCGGCTGGGAGGCCGGAGCCCGGCCCGAGGCTGCCTTATCTTGGCCACAAGGCCTCCTTCAAAATAGACTCATTTCCCAACGTGGACGTAACCCCACGGGTGGAGAATATGCGGCTGGCGGTCGTACCTTGAGCAGGTCTATTTCTTTAATGCAGTCGGCACGGGCTTTGGCGTCCATTAAGTCAAATATCTAAAAGCAGAGTCCAGAATTACACACAGTAATAACCTATGTCCACGCTACCTGCCACATCCACTCCTTATGATTTTTATACATATAACTGTACACACACTGAGCATGTCTTTCCGATCAGCCTGTAGGGGCTGTAGGGTCTGCAGGTATTTCACTGGACGTTAGCACTGGAGCCTCCATTTTCCTTCCACAGGCGGCCGGTACTAACACGCGTGTTACTAAGACTTGGAAAATACGCATCGGCTCGTATCCTAGGTAACGGCTTACAAGGAGAGACACACGGGTGGCCCCGGCCCCGGCCACTTCATTCAAGTCACGGAAAAGGACGGGGTGCCATCCGTGCACAGGAGGAGTGACTCCCTTTTCTCCGTGAGTCTGACGCCCGCCCTCCCGGCCCCGGGAGGTGTCAGCTCTAGGCTTTCAGGACGGGACAGGATGGAAGGGCTGTGAGTAGCAAACAACAGTGAGACACAGTTTGCGGCATCGAGCCCACAGCCTGTCCGCGGTAACGGAGGGCATGCCTTCGTGTGAGGGACACGGCATCGAGCCCACGGCCCATCCGCGGGTGACGGAGGGAACGCCTTCGTGTGAGGGACATGGCATCGAGCCCACGGCCCGTCCGCGGTAACGGAGGGAAGGCCTTCGTGTGAGGGACACGCCCGTGGGGCCACCGGCGCCGGACAGGACGGGAGCCAGCTCACCTGCACCTTCTTCAGAGCCACCGGGACGCCGTCCAGCAGGCAGGCCGCCCGGTACACCTCACTGAACTGCCCGCGGCCGATCTTCTTCTCTATCCGAAAGTTGGCCAGCGTGTTGTAGCCCATATCTGGCCGCAAGGCCTTCTGTCAGGAGAGACCAGCGAGGTTTCAGCCACACGATGTGCACACCATGGCGGCTGTCACTCCAGCAGGTGGCCTGTGTGAGCTGGGACCCCGGCGGGGGCCAGGAGGGAGCCGCACAGATGGGCACCTAGTCGTCCCCTGACACTCCGGCCATGTCGGCGTCACAAGCCCCACGGTGTCCTGCCTCCCACGCCAGTCTCTGCGCCTCCCACGGCTGAGCAAAGCCCGCACTACGGCCCAGCCCTGCGGACCCCCCGAGAGAATCCACAGTTAGAGAGTTGCCATCTCCAGTCCCGATGAGAAAACAGAGCTGGGCAGACACGCGTGTTAGAAATGAGGCTGAGCACACGCACAACGTAACGAGGAAGCTGGAATCCCGCACCACGTCCCTCGGACAGAGCGGCCCGCGGAACAGAGCAAACTCACAAAGCGCCGCTTCCCCGACGCCGCCGTGGCCATGGGGGGCTTGTTCAGTTTCTCAACTTTAAAGGAAAGTATTACTTCCAGAGGAGGGGCTTCGTGACCGCCTGTGCCTTTCTCAGGAATGCGTGGGTCTCTAAGGAGCCCACAGCGTCTGAGAACTAGGGCTCCTGCCTCTTCCGTGGGGACAGGCCCGCGGCCTCCGGGGCGAACCTGGCCGCCAGCAGGTGCAGCGTCACCGGCAGCACCGCCCCACGCTGCGGGGACACGGGAATCCCACCTCCGCCGGCGGGTGACTGACAGGCACGAGCGTGGCCCGCCGAGGCGCCGTGACAGGCGCCCGCTGGGCCGGCTCACTAATGTGCTCTGGCATGCAGGCCTGTAATCACGCATTTACATATGCAATGACCTACATTTGCATGTCAGATCGCACACTGTCTGGGCTTATTAAGCCGGGGCGGCCGGCCGGGGTGGCAGCGAGGCCGGAGGGGGCGAGCTTGGCAGCTGAGGGGCGGGCTGCCACCCAGGATCAGGCTGAGCGGCCTGAGCATTAGACACTTCATTACACGTCATCTGCTGGGCAGGGGCCGCGGGTCAACTTCACAGCCCATTTGCGGCGCCTCCCCCTCGGCCCCTCTTCCAAGGGCAGCGGGGCTGAGTGACAGCCGTCTCCTCGCCCCGTCCTGTCTCCAGCGCAGACGGGGCTGGCACAGTCCCACCGCCCTGCAGTCTGCATAGCACAGGCTTGTTAAGAGGCTCCTCCAGGTGACCCCGCACCCGGTCGTGAACCCCGACCGTCCCCAGCGCCCACGTCGCTGGGCGGGCTTGCCCACTGCAGGCAGCGCTGTCCGTCCTCAAACAAAAGCTGGTGTCGCCGGGGAGGCCACGCGAGGAAGAGTTATTTTTAGAAAAGCCATGGTCTCTCCTTTGCATGATGTCCAACCCTCCACTGTGTGGTGTAGCATGGAGTTATCCTGGGAATAAAACAGCTCCATGGAGTCCCCACCGCCCGAGACAAGGCCCGGGCGCTGGAATGGGGGGATCGGAGACCAGCTCTGCCGCCCAGGACCCTCGGAGCTGTTCCCCACTTCTGTGAGCGGGGAGGCTCCCGGGGCTGTCAAGCGGGTGGTGCATGCAAGTGGCCAGGCCAGCGCCAGGCTCAGCACCCGTTACAGCTGTGCCCTCCCCCGGGCCCTCGTGCTGTACACGACTCCTCCGGGTCCTCTGGCTTCAAGATCACAGTGCTTAGCTGCCACCTCCACCTTCCCGCGGGCCCTCCCTCTGGGCCCCGAAGGGTCTGCCTCCACCTGCTCCCCGTCTCCCTATGCCAACAGCCCACGGACCAGGAGGCCTAAGGATCCCCGGCCGGGGCTCTGCCTCCAGCGGGAGACCCCGCTTCCCTGCGGACCAGCTCCTGACTCAGGGATGAAGATGCCACCTAGTGCGGCTGCTGGGAGCCAATGCAGGGCATCTAACCAGGGTTATTCCGCCAAAGCCTCTCATGCTCACGGGGGAGGGGCGAGCATCCCACATGAAGCCACGTGGATGGCAAGTGGGCGCCTGGCTGGAACGGGCTGAGGAGTTAAGATCCCAGGCAAACGAAAGGACACCTGGCCCCATGCCCAGGCCCCCAGGGTCAGACATGCCTGCCCCTGAGACAGGGCTGGTCCGGCCCAACGTCTCCTAACTCACTGCACAGAGACCATGCCCACATGGCGACTTTCAAATGGGTTCCTTTTCGGAAGAAGTCTCAAAACCATAACCAATGTGCAGGGACCACGGGGCCGATATGTTGTTTTACATGTGATTTTATTTCTTGAGGACCTGAGACCCCTACACTCCTAACCTCAAGGGCATAATTGGAACTGATTTGGGGAGCATTTCTGTTCCATTTCGGGGGTAAATTATGTTTAATCTCAAGAGATCTGCATCCACATACAAACAGGTCATATTGGAAAAGCATCCTGAAATCTCAGACACGAGACAACTATTCAAAATTGCGCAGGACAATCAGCAACCAGGCCCTGAGTGTCCGCGTTCTCCGAGCGAATCACACGACACCAGGTCTGCTAACTCAGTGGGATCAACTGGTACCTGGCGGTCCGCTCGCCGCCTCCTGCACAGCGTGCATTCTCTCTCAAATAAAACCCACTCGGCCGCACCCCGGCTGCCTCCCAGGCGCAGCCTCTCGGAACAACTGCTGATCGCTAGGACTCAATTAATTAATTTGCTCACAATTGGAAGCGAAGACGTTCACTAAGCAATGGGTGATTCGGGGTAACATGATGATGATGGCTCTCTGGGGAAATTAACCGAGTCGCAGCGTGGACTCCGCGGGCTCCCCAGGGAGAACCTCCTGTCCCGGGAAGTCCCAGAGGGACTGTTATCAATGATCGAAGACACCAGCCAGCGCTCATTATGTTTAGCATCATTAATAAGGTTTTCGTTGTTACTGCCATCGTCTCTTACGGGTGGTTTTCATATTACCGTTTAGCAAACTAACAAATTGCTTTCTATTTGACATTAATGTTGTTGAATGTTAACAGAATTTAAAAGTAACAAAATGCCCTTCCATTTTATGCCAATAAAACTCATTCTATGATCTTGAAAGAGATATGACTCACCTCCAAGCGACACCAGTTAGAATGTCCTGTGACCGCATCTGGCACAGCTCTGCCACGTACTTCCTACAAACCCCCCTGTGAACCAGAGAGCGACAGCGCACACCTGCACACACCAGCGCCACGTGTGCTAACGACGTCACCTAACCACGCTTCTTCCCGTTGCAGTTATCTCCCTGAAATCTCCCGGAATATCTGAAAAGTAACCTGTTCCTAGACACAAAGTGCTGGCGATTCAGCCCAGTGAGGACAGGGCGCCATTAACCATGACCAGCGGCTTTTCATCCAACACAGAGGAAGGCCACTGTGCCCCCGCCAGCGCGGCCAGGCCTTCCTCACCAGCTCCCGGGCCCGTCCACGCAGCCCCTGCTCCACGCGAGGTCGGGGGAACGAGGACCCTTCTCCACCCAACAGGAGGGACAGGAACACGCCCACAGGCCACGACACGTAGGCACCGGCAACGCCAGGAGAGACACAGAGAAGGTGCCGTCAGGGTCCAAGAAGAGAGGTCACAGTGGGAAGGGGGTGCTCCCCACGGACAGATGCGGTGAGGTGCTCTCTGAAGGCTGGCCAGGTCTCAGGAGCCGGAGCAGATGAAGGCGCACAGTGGCCAAGCCGCCGAGGCAGGGAGACTGTAAAAACCAACGCTGCGACCTTCCTCCATGTTTGTCCCTGAGAACGAAGTATTCGACGGCTAGGAAAATGCACACAATGCTGACACCTGGCCATTCCTCGTTAGCAAGGGGCCGCTTCAGTTCCTCAAGGACCTGTCAGTGCGCGTCTTAAGGACAGAGGGGTGCTCGTCGTGAGGCCCTTACCTGGGGCTGGAACTGGGGGACAGGCGGCCCCTGCAGGCCTTGCGACTGCTCATCCATCGTCCGAAGGAAGAGGACCGTCAGAGCTCTGCGAAGGCAAAGACGAGATGTCAGTGCGGACATCACCACTCACCGTGCTCATCAGCAACATCAGAGGCCGACCGAACGCTGCAAAAGGAGCCATTAAGCCCGGCTGGTGTGGCTCAGTGGTCAAGCATCAACCTGTGAACCAGGAGGTCACGGTTCCATTCCCGGTCAGGGCACATGCCCAGGTCATGGGCTTGATCCCCAGTGTGGGGCGTGCAGGAGGCAGCTGATCCATGATTCTCTCTCATCATTGATGTTTCTGTCTCTCTCTCCCTTCCTCTCTGAGGTCAATAAAATATATTGTTTTCAAAAAGGAACCCATTACGATAGCCACACCCTCACATCTGCCAGTTGCTTAGCACAAGTTCTGTCTACCCACCACCAAGCGTCACCGTCCCCGGTCACGTACTCAGCAGACCCTGGCAGACAAGGTGAGATTATCTCTCCTCCCTCAGGCCTCATGGGCCCCTCTCCACAACGGGAAGAAAATTCAGGAAGATCCTGCGATCGCGCTCATGCCTGACATGCCCGTCCCCGACACGCCCCCCGGCGTCATATTCTATCAACGGCCACCCAGGTCCTGTATGTCCGACAAGGCCTACAGTGGCGGTCAGGCCTCAACTGAAAGGCCAGTCCTCACAGGAGTGTGTGTGTTGGGGGGCCGAGGGGGTTAACTATAAAACTAGTCACTAGATAGGAAACATTTTAAAATTATAGTTAATATTAAAGAATGCTTAGCTAAAGGAAGATATCTCCCTCCTTATACAACAAAAATTAATAATAAAGACATAGAGCTTACAATCTTTTAAATTCAACTTCTAACTAAGCTTAGAGTAACTGCGATTTGACTAACCAAGGGTATGTATAAATTCCATTCATTTCAAAGTACTTCCTGCTTTCACACATACATTGACGATTCCATCCTGCTATCCAGTTTCTCTATAACTGATCTCGACACAATGTGAAATCTTAAACTTGACACTGTGCACAAGCCAGTCTGAAGCGAGATTTCGGACGAACAGTTGGAGAAGTTTTTCTTTCCTTGAGTTTTCAGAACTCTGAAGAGTTGAAGCTCAAAGTTACAAAGTCGTTTCCTTTTCTTTAAATGAAGGTGCCCTTCCATCGCAAGGCGAGTCACAAAACCTCCAGTTATAAGTAACATCTACGCAGTCTATGAGGAAATACTAATAAGTTCCATTTCATTGATCAAAACAGCCACAACTGACGAATAACAGTGCAGAGCCTGGGCCGCAGGAAAACAGCAACACTGTTCTCGCCCGAAATGAAGTCGCCGGCTTATAACTCTATGTGCATCCGACACCTCGACGCTGAGAAGGGCGCCGTGGAAATTGAGGGTGACCGGGACTTGGCAGAGTCTAAATCCTCACATCCAGAGCCCAGTGTTTTTCTTGGCCCAAACTCCCCTGGGCAGGACGGCTTCTGACCTCACTCGGGTCTATTCAACCACTGAGTCACCCAGGTTTCCATCAGCAGCAGGACAAAGGCCACTGGCAGAGGCGGGGCATCAACAGTTCATTCACAGGCTTCCGAGTCCTTGTGAGTCAGTCCCCGGGAGATAACATCGGGCTTTGAAAGGATGACGGATGTCCCGGGAGCTCAGCGCTTCCAGTGAAAAGCAGGAAGCTAACGGGTGCCCGAGCTGGTTTCCAAGCGCCCTTCTCCCTCCCCGGTTCTCCCTCCAGGAAGGAGCCAGGGCTCCCTGGACAGTGACTGCTGAGCAGCCGGGGCTGGGAGTGCAACCGAGCCCCCGACATGCAAGCGTGTGTCAAGGGCAGTGCGGACCTGCTGCAGGGACACGCCAGCTGCACGGGCGCCGCCACCTCTGGGACCGTTCTAGAGTCGCCGTAAGCCACCGCCTCAGACAGCCCGTGAGGCGCAGACATGCACTAGCACACAGTGGACGAGGGGGACGCGGCTCCTTCCAAGATAAGGTCCCCTATAAAGGAGGAGGGGCGGGTTTAAAAAGTCACTATTTGCCAGTCTTCAAGGCAAGAATCACGGTGGAGGGCAGACGAGTGGAGAAAGCTATGTACCGTCTCCCACAGCATCTCCCCCTCCCACACACACACACACACACACTCCTCACCAGTTCCCAAGGGAGAAGGTGATCTGAAAGCAGAGAACTTGGCAGCGCTCCCGAGCCACAGACCAAGTTAGAGAGACACCAGGTGCCTCTACATACGATGCAGGAGGAAGAAAACCCTCGGACGTTCCTGCCCAACTCGCAAACCGAGTGACCACGAGGAGACACGGAGGGACTGAGCTGTGTGGACGTCCCTGCTTGTCGCCCACCCTCCGCCTGAAGTTCACTGCCATGGGCTCCAGCCTGGCAACGACAGACAAAGCCCCTGTAAACACAGACGCAAGTGCTCGCCTCCCGTGAGCAGGAAGCTAGGAATGGGACTGCAGAAGAACTCGACTCCACTCCGGGAGGGGCGCGTGTGGAACAGGTCACACGGTCCAACCAGAAGTAAGATGGAAGTGGCCCGCTCGTCCTGAGCCCCCACCCCTCCCTGAGGTCTCTCCTCATCTCCTCACTCACTCTCGCTGCTCCGACGAGGTCATCCCCAAAGCCTGCATGTCGCATCTGCGACTGGATTTGTATTTCTGCCAAGTCATCAGGGAGGAGGGAGGAAGTAAGAGCTAGCGTTCCCAATCGCAATCACGAGAAACTGAGAAGCGTATGAACCTTTCAACTTTGTAGGAAAGTAGACATTACCTTCCCCTGGCTAGTCAATGAACAAGAATGGGTCTAAAAGAAATGGCTCACTGCAGGCTGAAAGGAGGTGGTGCCATATTTCACTGGAAAATGAAGCCCATTATAAGGGGGGGCGGGGGGGAGAGAAAGAGAGAGCGATTGACCGGCTGCCTCCTGCAAGCCCCTTACCAGGGATGGAACCTGCGACCAGCCATGTGCCCGGACTGGGCATCTAACGGGCACTCTTTCCGTGCCTGGGACCATAGCAACCGAGCACACAGCCAGGGCCCAGCAGTGGTTGCTTCTCTTCCCATCTCCCTGCCTGGCCCCAGCCCTCCTGGCCCGGGGGGTTCAGCAGGCGCAGCAGCCCCGCTGAGAGCCTCAGTGGGAAAGGGAGGAAGGCCAGGGAGCCCCAGCGCCTGCTGGCTGTGCACACAGCCTGCGAGGCCCTAGCCTGCCCCCGCCAGTGAGCGCCCACACGGCCCAGCAGCCCTCTCCATCCTCCCTGCCAGCACAGCCGCCACGATCCCTCCCCTGACAGCACCGCCCCGCAGCAGCCAGCCTCCTGCCTCGCGTGATGACGGATGCCCCAGCCGGAGGAGTGTGGGCTCGGGCGCTGAGGCCGCGGAGTTATTTCTGGTTTGGAAACAGCCTGGCCGCAGCACCTCTGACTTTTCAGGTCCAGCCAAACCGCGCCGGCAACGGGGCCTGGCGTGGCTGCAGTGACCGGTCCGCACAGGAAACGCCGGCTCGGTGCGCAGTGCGCTCCAGTGCCCCCGGGTCCCCGTTATCACAGCCTTTGCTGAACTAAGGGCTCCCGATTCCGGGGCTCTGAGCAGAGTGTACGTCTCCCACCCGCCTTACTAGGAAGTGCTCCACGGGAACTAGCCCTGGAAGGTGACCTTCAGTGCTCTGGCTCAGGGTCAAGTCCAAATTCCTCGGCCTGGAACCGCAGGCCCGGTTCACGCCACAGAAACGCACTGAGTCCTTCTCTGAAGTGGGCAGGCCCGGGAGGAAGAGATGACAGCGAAGGGCCTGGCAGCAGGGAGCTCATCGCCTGGTGAGGAGTGTCCAGACCACGGCCAGGCTCGGGGCCACGCCAGCCCGGAAGCGGCTTGGGTTTCAGGCTGCCCCAGCTCTGCAGTGGCTGCTCAGGCGGAGCTGCCTTTCACACAGGCCACTGGGCAGCTCGGGGAGTGACTCAGAGCCTCATGTCCCACTCTTTTTGCCAAACCGGCCGTCTCTGCGCTTCAGAATCCTAGTTCCCCTGGCCCCGTGCTTCCCCTGGGCCAGCACAGACGCCCTGCTCCCGGGGCAGCCCTGCAGCCACGGCCGCCGGGCGTGCCCTCCTGTGCCCGCAGCAGCCGGCACCGCACGCTGGGCACCAGGCCTTCCTGTGCTGCAAGGCACACAGTCCGACCCACAGGCTGCGGAGATCCCGGGCCGCCCGCACATCAGCAAGGCTTCCCACCAGGTGCCTCACAGGCTCGATGAATAACTTGAGTATCAACTGGGTTTCATTTTACTGGAGCTTTAAAGTCACAGGCCGGCCGGGCAGCAAGAACACCAACCACAACACTAACCTCAAGTCTTAATTCATGACCATAACCTTGGGCAGTAATGAGAGAGCAGGCATACTCTCAAACCAATCTCTCTCTCTCTCTCTCTCTCTCTCTCTCTCTCTCTCTCTCTCTCTCTCTCCACACACACACACACACACACACACACACACACCCTTGTCCACTGAGGAGCAGGGGCTGAAGAGACCTACGTATTTAATATATGATGAAACTTTAACCAGGGAAAAACCCAGGATGGTGAGCCCATCGCGGTGCATGCCCGAGAACCCCTCCTGCCGAAAGCTGACCATCAGCCCACGCGGCTCCAACTCCCCTGGGAGTTAGTGTCGGTCAAACAGTTCATTCCAGCCAGTGCTCAGAGCTGACTGACGCGCCGCTAGACTTTCCCTACTGCCCATCTTTTCATTGCTTCACTCTTATTCCCATCACATAGAGGCAACCCTGAAGAGCACCTGCCCACACTTAGTTTGCGAGTGTCAAACATATAAAGGCATTTTAAAATTATATTTTTTACCGTTCTTTTGTATTAGAACAAAACCCAGTGTCCTACCCACTGCTTTTCATCATTTAACGAGTTTGACGAGGTCTCTCCTCCAGTTCAAGCACTGACCCTCGTGCGCCATGTTGAAGGGGCTGGCTGACCGGCTTTAAGCCGCTAAGTGTTCAAATGGACTGTAAATTCACCCTGTGGGTTAGTCCACC